TTATGGTTGGGTCACAACATGAGGAACTGTATTTAACCCCTTCCCCAACAATTTTTTTGTTAAAAACGTTTCTTTTTCAGACTAATTTTTTTATTTTGGTTCTATATAGTATTTTTGATGCTGGTTATGAAAACAGTTTGTAACTCGTCTTCCTATAAACCATATTTTTTTACCATATTTTCTTAGTATACTCGTCGATGACTGAAAAAGAACATTTTGTGAAAACGAGTATACACGTTTCTGCCGGGGAAGGGGTTTAAAGGGCCAGAAGGTTGAGAACCACTGAGAAAGTCTAAACTTTCCCTTAGATGCCATTTGTATTGTTCAGCCACCATAAAAGAACTGAGTTCACAAAGGAGCCTTCAGACAAGGTGACTCAGCAAAATTGCCTTCCCAACTACCGTGGGTTGCATGGTGAAACATTTCATTAATCCATGCCATCAGTTCTGGGAGGCTGTATCGTTCCCATATAGGAACAAAAAAGAAACTTCCCCTTGGAATTGAGGGTGGGGGCTTCCCTCTAGTGCACTATTACTAAACAGCCAACCAGAGAGGCAGTAGAATGCAGTGCAAGCTTGGCTCTAAATCCCAGCCCTGCCACTTACCAGCCATGAAACCTTTCTGTGTCAGTTTCCTCCTCTACAAAATTGAGATAATAACAGCACCTGTTACTGTGGGGTTGTTGTGAAAATTCAATGAGTAAATACATGTAAAACTTCACCCCACCATCATGCTCAAGGCCACCACCTATCATTATTTCTTCACTAGAGGCCCGGTGCACAAAAATTTGTGCACTGGTGGCGGAGGCGGGGTTGGGAGGGTCCCTCAGCCCAGCTTGCCCCCATCACATACTGGGAGCCCTAGGGGATGTCCTACTACCTGCTCCCTGCTTCCCTTGGGGAGTGGGCCTAAGCCACAGTCTGGCCTCCCTTTGAGGACTAAAGCCTCTGGTGAGTTATTAGCCCTGGGCCGGGTCACCCCCAGCTCCCCACCGCTGCCACCATCAATGATCGCTGGTTGGCTCCTCCTTGGCCCAAGCTTAAAGCCTCAGGCTGAGGTGTTAGGCCTGGGCCGCCATCAATGATCGCTGGCTCCATGATCGCTGGCTGGCTCCTCCCCGGCCCAAGCCTAAAGCCCCTGGCTGAGGTGTTAAGCCTGGGCCGGACCCTCCCCATGCTCCCCACCATCAACGATCTCTGGCTGGCTCCTCCCTGACCCAGGCCTAACGCCTCAGGCTGAGGGTTTAGGCCGGGGCCGGGGCACTCCCCGCTCCCCGCCACCAATTGCTGGCTGGCTCCGCCCAGGTTCCCTGCCGCTGCCGCCATCAATGATCGCTGGATGGCTCCGCCCAGGCCCCAGCCTAAAGCTTCAGTCTGAGGCTTGGGGCTGACATATGCAAATTAGCCGCCATCTTGGCTGTCGGCTAATTTGCATATCTCACTGATTAGCCAATGAAAAAGGAAGCGGTCGTATGCCAATTACCATCTTTCTGTTTTATTATATAGGATGTCCATAGTGACTTCCCTTTGAGTGTCCTTCTACTCCTGTTCCCTTTCACAGAGGAATTCCGAGTGGCTGTGACCGTTCACTATCTGAAGGATTAGGGGGAAATATTAAATGAATATGAAAAATCTGAGATATAATTTGAATGAAATGGACTTAAAAAGTTAAAACACTTGAAAACTTTGGTATAAGAAGACACTGTTGTAAAATTTAATTTTGAGCCATAGCTCTACCAGGCCCCTTCAGGGAAGTCCGTAAGACCAGCTGCCTCTTTCTCTCTAAGGGGTGAGACTTTTAGCCTGAAGCTGGATTTATGGGCTCAAAGAATGCTAAGTTCTAGAATTCTATCAGATAGGAGAAATTAGTTCTTTAGAAAAAAAAACCCACAATGATGTCTAGGAATGATCACAAAAGTGTCAAGATCAAGATAGCTATGGTAGCTTCAGTAACAAGAGTTTCAATAAAATAAAACCTTTTTTCTTGTAGCTCAGCCCAGGAACTGTGATGCTATCCATTTTCAAACCACAAAAGGTAAAATAATTTGGGAATACTTTGGATTCTTGTAGACCATTTATTTTATATCCAATAAAGTAAAACGGGGTAACATAACACCCACTATCAAATGTTTTTCTAAAATGTCAGCTGTAATGTTGTCACATTTGCCTTTTATATGCAACTTACCTTTGGGGTAATTAATGAAAAAGAAAAAATAATTCTGAGCACATTGAGAAGTAGATTTAGACGATGCAAATAGTAGTAGTCTCTCTAGTAGTCTCTCTCCCTCTCTCTCTCTCTGCCCCTTTTTGTTTGCTTATTTGTTTAAACCTGGGACAATGTTAAGATCTGAAGACTAGTGAGTGGTTAGATTTTTTTCTACCTACCCTTTTGGTCTTTTAAAATGTACCCACTGAGGACTTACACTAGTAAGTGAGGTTCACATGTTTTAATTATACATGACACTATGTATTTCAATTAACATTTTAATTATGCCTATGTCCATATAGGGAAATTTGAGTTTCTTATCAGTCATTACAAGCATTTGTACATTCAAGTGAAAACTTACTGGTTTCTTATTGTGATCTTATTCTTTGATTTTAAAATTGATAACATGTAGACTTTCCTGAAACATGAACAAAGGTAAAATGAGACTGATAGGGGAGCTAATGAAATAAAGAGAGTTCTAGAAATTGTTGATTTATGGAAGTTCTAACCAATATGGCCAGTTAAGAGCAACTATCCCCAAGGAGAATCATTCCTAGTCTTTAGAAGCCCTTTGAAGAATGGTTAGCTTGAACTTGTCTTATTTTACTCCACAGTTAATATACTAAAGTATATTTCTTTTACATGGAAAATATTTAAATGACAAAGTTCCTAACATGTATAATAACCTAAAGTTAACCCACTAATTACAACACATAGGTGATACCTGTTTGTGTTTAGATTGTCATTAGAATCGTTAGAGCGAGTTATGTCTTCTCTCTCTTCCTTCCTCCATCCAGTCCTGTAGTCTTTCTATTGAACAAGGCGATGAGTGTATCTCCTTTCTCCATGTCCAGATGTTCTGGGATTTCTGGGGCTACAGATGCCAATGCTCTCTGATAAGATCCACCTGAACTCTATGCCATTGACATTTGAAACAGGATGTCCCTTCCTAAGCTGATCACCTCCAATTAACACAAGGGTTCTCAACCTGTGGGTCACCACCCTTTGGGGGTCAAACGACCCTTTCACAGGGGTCGCCTAAGACCATCGGAAAACACATATATAATTACATATTGTTTTGTGATTAATCACTATGCTTTAATTATGTTCAATTTGTAACAATGAAATTGGGGGTCACCACAACATGAGGAACTGTATTAAAGGGTCGCGGCATTAGGAAGGTTGAGAACCACTGAATTAACGGGTCATAATTTTAATTTAATTATATGTGCTCTAGTAACTCAGGCATGGTTTTCTCGTAATGTACCACAGTTTTTTCTTAAGTATAAGATAACTGACCTGCTTCACCTTCTCATCTCTCATGGTATATATAGTCACTACTTTTGTTTCATAGGTTACCCAGCATAGAACCTGTTTCCTTATATTGCTATTAAATTAACCGTCCTCTGGGTTGGGGTGACTGGCAAGGGGAGCAGATTTAATTCAATGCATGACATTCAGAGTCCAGTTTGGGTACAGCATACCTCTTCCACAATTAGCTTTTGTTCATCTAAATGTCCCTGGATGTGAGCCAAGCTGCCACCTCCTATTTTATTTTATTTATTTTTTGAAATATATTTTATTGATTTTTTTACAGAGAGTTAGAAACATCGATGAGAGAGAAACATCGATCAGCTGCCTCCTGCACACTCCCTACTGAGGATGTGCCCGCAATCAAGGTACATGCTCTTGACTGGAATCAAACCTGGGACCTTTCAGTCCACAGGCGAATGCTCTATCCACTGAGCCAAACCGGTCAGGGCTCATCTCCTATTTTAAAGTGCTACAAAAATAAATTCATATTTTGGTGCTGAAAAATAATTGTTAAGCAGTTGGTAAAAACATTGTCCCCAGATACATATATCAAGTTTATATAGGAACTTGGATGATTCATGATTCGTTACCTAACATTTCTATGTCTGTATGTCTGAAGTCAGTTTTAAGTAACACAGAAGACTCAGCACAAAATGGAGACAGGGCTATGTTGTGACTAGTGACACTGTGACAGATACTCCCAAGGTCACAAGGACACCCTGACCCTCCCTGATAGGCCCTGTTGCTCCCATACTGCTCTCTAGGGTCCTATGTGATGGTTCTATCCCTGCAGAAAGAACTGACTTGAGCTAGTGCTGTCTTCAAGGTATAGCTACCTTGAAAGAATGATGAAAGTTCCTCAGAAGTTTCAAAACTGAGAATCACTGTTTGTGTCAACTGATACCAAATTTTCAAAAATATACTGTTTTAGCTACTTACATGCACAAGGGCTTGAATAGAGTCACTGGTTTAAAAGAAATGACAGGACCTTAGAAATATAGTGGTTTCAGAGATATTCCTCAGGAATAGGCAATTTCAAGTTTATAAACTTGGGATGTAGAGCTCACAATAAATGTTATGATAGTTTTATCAGCCATGGTATAGGTTAAAAAGGCTTTTATGGGCTGGACTGGAAATGTACCCCCCTTGCAAACCATTTCCCTTAGAGGTGGTGTCTTTGATGCTCAAGGGAGTGAGAACAGAGCACTCATCTCCTCTTGAGTTAGGGGAGGAAGTGCCGCCTGGACTTGGCAGAGGGCAGCACAGTGGCTCAGGAAGCAGCCCCACTCCTGGAGGCAGGGAGGGAATCTGGGTCAGGTCCCCTCTGCGCACCCCCACCACCACCACCACACTTCTTGGGGCCAGATACTTTGTCTAGTCACTTGTTTATCAGAGGAATGTTTGTCATTCCAAGATCCTGAAATGTTTGCAGTTCAACAGAAGCCAGGGTTACACTAATTTCTGTTTAGCTTCCTCTCCAGTCCCAGCAACCCCCATCCTACAGCTGGAGGAGTGCTGCACCCACAACAACAGCGCCACGCTGTCCTGGAAGCAGCCGCCTCTGTCCACGGTGCCCGCCGAAGGATACATTCTGGAGCTGGACGATGGCAATGGTGGTCAGTTCCGGGTAAGCAGAGAGCCTATTCCTGGTTAACCAGAACCAGTGACTTCCTCAGTGCCCCGACGTGCAGTCTCAGGCCCACTCGCCCTCCTCTCCTGGGGACATGCTGTCTGGCAGGGTCTGCCTGCCCTCAGCTGAGGCCTGCTTTCTCCTTGTACCATCTCAGAGATGAACAGAGGAGTTTCTGAATAGAAATGGCCCTGCCTTTCTCCTCCTCCTCCTCCTCCTCCTCCTCTTCCTCCTTCTTCTTCTATTAATTTCAGAGAGGAAGGAAGAGTGAGGGAGAGGGAGGGAGAGAGAGAAACATCAGTGATGAGAGAGAATCATTGATTGGCTGCCTCCTGCACACCCCTGACTGGGGATCGAGCCTGCAACCCAGGCATGTGCCCTGACCAGGAATCAAACCATGACCTCCTCATTCATAAGTCGATGATCAACCACTGAGCCACGTCAGCCAGGCATGGTCCTGCCCTTCTTAAGAGAAAGTTCATGCAGTGCTGTGAGCTCTGGAATCTGAATGCCTGCATTCAAGTCCAAACTCCACCACCGAGCTGGTGGCTGCTCATTCCTCGCCGCTTTGAGCCTCATGTCCTCAGTTGTAAAATGGGGATGATAATAATAACATTCTTAAGAGTCATTTAGATCATCCATATGAAATCCTTCGCATGCTGCCATCCCAGACTCCAGGCTCCTTAGTGTCCCACCAGAGAGCTGACGTTTTAAGGCTGTGCTTTGAACGTGAATTATTTTTACTCATTACATCAGCATAATGTTGCAAAGTGTGCAGCTAAAAAGGGAGGCAGATGCCTAACCTTTGCTAAACATGCATAATGCTAGGATTTATTTTCAGCCTTTGAAATGTCATTCTTTCTCCCTCCCCTGTTTCCTCCCCCTTCATTCTGTACTGTGATGAAAACCTATACTCCTATGGCTTTGAGTGGATAGTCCTTGCAACAGTTCCTGAAGTCATGATTGGAGTTATAAACCCAGCATGGAGACCACCCTCATGTTTTCAAATCTGTTGTTTACAAATCACACTGATGGATAAAGAGCTCATAGGTATAATACACTGTGTAAATGCTATGCTAACAATAACAAGTATAATGCTATCTCTGACACCCAATTTTACTTTTTTTAAGCCCTCGCTGCTAATAACTCCCATTCATTAAGCTGCCACGCTAAATACAAGGCACCATGCTAGTCAGTTTGCCTATATGACCTCATATAATCCTTACACTAACCTCATAAGCTGGGTATTACTATAACCATTTTCCAGATGAGGAAACTGAGGCTAAAAGAGGTCAATTAAATGGCCCAATAGCTCACAGGAGTCAAAGCCGGATCTGATGCCCAAGCACTTTTCCCCTAACCATTGGGATACACTACCCCCTAACGCCTCCCAAGGGTTCCCGTTAAATGGTGGCCTGTTATTTGTCGACCCTCAGGAAGTGTATGTCGGAAAGGAGACCATGTGCACCGTGGATGGTCTTCACTTCAACAGCACGTACAACGCTCGCGTCAAGGCCTTCAACAAAACAGGAGTCAGCCCGTACAGCAAGACCCTGGTCCTCCAGACGTCCGAGGGTAAGGCCCTTCAGCAGTATCCCTCGGAGCGAGAGCTGCGAGGCATCTAAGCCGGAGGTAGCCCCGCCAGTGCCGCACTCCGCACGTGGCCATGACTCGCTCTGCGCCCTGGCACAGGCCGCTGGTCCTCTCCGGCGCTGGGGAGCCCGTGGTGTGTGGATGTGTCAAACCAAAGAGTCCACAGCGGCAGTTCAAATGGCTCAGGCCGTCGGCTCCCTTTGATAACGCTCTAAATAAGCTGCAGATGGAGAAGCTGAGACACGGAGGCCTGGAGGTCCCCCCGCATGTGAGACCAATGTGTCTAGGGCTCTAGGGCAGGCTCCCCTTCCCCACCATCCACATCATGGCCAGTGTTGCCCAGATGCTTCTCATCGCCTATTAGTGCTTGCTTGTTCCCGAGGGTGGGCCGAGGTTCTTTCCAGCCGCGGATGTGTCTGACCCACCCTGGTGCCAATGGGTGGGGTGCTGGAGCTGTTCAGAGAGGGCCTGCCCGCCACTCTTGCTCACCCAGCATGGACTGCTCCCATTTCACACCCAAGCCCAGGCCGGCAGCACCAGGACTGAGGCTTCCTGTGGGCACCAGACAGGACGAGACCAGCAACTCCGCATTACCTTGCGATTTCGTCTTTGCCAGTCCTCTAGTTGTGGTCAGAATGCCTAGGGCCACTGTATAGTCAGTCTCTAGATATTTTGGTCTGTACATATTTTTGGTCATCGAAGGCAAGCCATCCAGCTCAGATGGCCAGGTATAACCTCTGAGGCTTTTAACACTTTCATTTTAAAAGCAATTGCAACCCATGAACTCCAGCTATGAAGAGGTATCTGTGGTTGGTGCCAGATCATACCTCTGGGTATGATTTTAATCATAGAAGACCCCACACTACTGGCATTCTCCATAACGTCCCTCTGCAGAACTAATTATGTTGATTTGGGTCAAATTCAAGACGTTAGCTCCATGGTCGGCAAACTGCGGCTCGCGAGCCACACGCGGCTCTTTGGCCCATTGTGTGTGGCTCTTTCTAAGCCTTAGGAGTACCCTGATTAAGTTAATAACAGTGTACCTACCTATATAGTTTAAGTTTAAAAAATTTGGCTCTCAAAAGAAATTTCAATCGTTGTACTGTTGATATTTGGCTCTGTTGACTAATGAGTTTGCTGACCACTGTCAGTTAGCTAAAAGAACTATGGTGGTGGGACATCCTACCCGCCCCCCCCCACACACACACACACACTTTCCACAAACCTCAGCCTGTGCCAATCGCCCCTGAAATGGTTCACATGGTTAAAAACAAGCACAACTTCAAATCCCACAGCACGGTTGATAGGCCCCTGGCCATGAAAACCATGTGTGGGGCGCAGTCGTAAGTCTGCGAGGGATGCTATTCAAAGAGAAGGATTTCTTCAAGGGGAAAATGTCCACGTGGTCTATTTCCATTTGGATTACAGGGGATGTGGTAGCTAGAGTCTCCCTGGGATGACCATTTTAGCATCTTCTCTCTGGGATGACCTATCAGCTTGAGAGCAGCTGCCTCTTTCCCCACAGTCCTATGGTAACTGCTATTGCCCTCCGAGAGTTCCTCCGAGATGCAATGCAGAAGGCCCTGCAGGGCTGCGGTGTCTAATAAATTACAAAGTTGGAACTGCGACCTTGGTACCACAGTCACAGAACTGGGGGTCGTTTTCTAAAAGAAACTAACGGAACAAGTCCTCTTCCAACAAAGAAACTGTTCTGTAGAAATAATTTCCTCCATGAATTTTATATATTGTATACAAATATAAGGTATGTATCTAACTGCAAAGACAACCTTATCATCGTGTAGAAACCAGTACCCTCTGTTACTGCACAGAAGTGATTTTCTCATGATGAAATAAAGTTCACACACATATGCCTTCTCCATAACTTTGGTTTGTTCTATTTGTCTCTCCCTCATTCTAACTCATTCAAACAGTGAGACAAGATTTAGGAAGCAAGGAAAAATATAATGAAGAATAGCTTATGTTTTAAAAAAGATTTAATTAATCTATAACAATACAGAAAGCCTCTAGAATTAAAAAAATTATACCGTCTTTATTTTTTAGAAATCAGTGAGGAAATGCCATTAATGGAGTGTTGCTATATTAACTGAGCTTATGCTTTATTAATATTATTTCCTATAATTCCTGGAAAGGTTTGCTTCAGATATATTATTTCTTTGCTGCTATTGGAGGTAAAGGGGTGGTTGGTTTTCGCTTTCTACTATAATACAATCGTTTGCATTCTTGTTAGCAAGAGTTAACCCCTTTCCAAAGTTCAAAGCAAAGAAGTCTGTATCACAGAATACAATTATAGGTGATTGCAAGTCAGACTTGTATTTACATGAATTTCGTCTGAGGTTTAAATCACTTTTCACTTACACTCTCTGAACGATCACAAAAATTTCTGCTGATCTAAAGGTAACATTAGGGAAGATCAGATGCCCACATTGTTATGAATTCTCATCATTTTTTTCAAAATTAAATGTGTTTGTGTATTGATCTATTTGTTGGGCAGTGTTTGATAACTACCCACTGAGTGGCAGGCTGTGGGTATAGAGTGTGAAGCAGACCTCCCCCTGCTGCCTAGGAAGAGAGACAGGCCTTAAAGAAACAGACACACAAATAGTTGCATATTTACGAATTATGATAAACAGTGTGAGAGAGGGGAAAGGGAAGACGCCATTTGTATAGGAAATTGGTCAGGAAAGCAATGAAAAATAATTTAATTCAATGGAAATGATGGAGAATGTGTTATTAAAAGAGGAGAGGAAAGGCAAATGTATGTTTGGTTACTTCCCTACCAGCAAAGGTCTTGGGGATGTACCTGAAACGGCCATACACATAAGGTCTGTTGTATTCTAAACCAAATTACCCTGACTTAAGAAGAAATAGAACTGTAAGCAATTAAGAATGTGAACATTGTGTAACAAGATCTTCTTAATACGTAGAGTTCTGGATTCAGTCTGGGAGACTACTCTTAAAAAAAGAAAGAAACAACCGAAGAACAAGAAAAAGAAAAGGAAATATTCTGTTTATTTTTCCCTACCTCCCCTCTGCCTATCTAAATAGACTATACTTTTTTCTTTTTCTTACATCTGAAGAGAAAATGAAATAGACCAAAGGCAGTATTCCTGGGGCCACATACTTTATGGAGACTGTTAACTGGCTGAAAGGAGAAGGTCTCCCTGACAGGCTCAGATCTCAGAGCCAGGGAGTTGCTCTCCGCAGCTTTCTCAGCAGAGGTGGCGCTGTGCGCACCACGCCTCCAGGGGATTAGGACAGGAAGGGCTGCACCCGCTATGTAATAAATACTCTTTAACACAAATCTTTGTGTGAAAAGGTTATTTTCCTTGGACAACTTCCTAGAAGTGGCATTATGGACCAAGCATTTTTAAGGCCCTTAATCTGTGTTTCCAAATTGCCTTTTAAATAGATTTTACACCAGAAATATATGAACCATTTCATTTTACACTAATTCTACTACTTAGAGTTTCATTTTGACATACAAGCAGCCTCTCCTAAAAGTACAAATGTTTCTAAAAGAAGGGATTTTTGGAAGGTTTTACAAGGGGGTTATATTTTTTTGTTATTTTTGTATCTGATTAGATCTTTTATTTGAATTTTTCAATTTTATTTTTCCATTACAGTTTGCATTCAGTATTATTTTGTATTAGATTCAGGTGTACAGCATAGTGGTTAGACAATCATATCCTTTGCAAAGTGAGAACCCCAATATTTCTAGTACCCACCTGGCACCTTAGAGTTATTACAATTTTATTGGCTGTATTCCCTATACTGTACTTTTGTAACTACCAATTTGTACTTCTTAATTCCTTCACATTTTTCACCTAGTTCCCCCAATCCTCCTCCCCTCGAGTAACCAACAGTCTGTTCTCTGTATCTATGAGTCTGTCTCTATTTTTTTTGTTTATTTTGTTTTTTAAATTCAACATATAAGTGAAATCATATGGTATTTGGTCTTTCTCTGCCTGACTTATTTCAGCTAGCATTAAAAGAGGGGTTTTTAAATGTATATTTTCATGGCTGTTTTACATCTAAGAGTTACATGAAATACATCACAACACATTGCAGGGAAAATGAACATGATCTAAAGGGGAGAGAAGACTTCCCAGAGAAGAGAGAGGGAGAGAGAAATCCGAAGGGAATAACTATATGCAAGCCCAAAACTTCAAAATCTGCATTAAGGTGACTGTGAAAAGCACATTATTCATTCATTACTGAGCACCTCAATGTTGTCTGGCACTGGGCTGGGCCCCAGGACCACAGAGATGCATAAGGCATAGTCCCTGCTTTAGTACGTATGGGTTTTAGTCCTCCTCCTTCCTGAACTGCATGGCACCTGACTCAGAGCATCTAAAAACTATGGCACCACCTGACCTCTCTAAAGCTATCTACCCTACAGTCGGGATAGTCATCTTACAACCAAGAAGTGAGCCATAGTGATCTCCGATTGGGAAGAAAAAAAATTTCAGGCATAGAAGCGCCTGTGTTATCCTCACAGCAGAGCCCTTGGCCTCACTTCTCACTTACTCTCGGTTTACGCACAGTTCACTGACCTCCCTGATCCATTCATGAAGAGCACTCGAAGCATCACATTAGAGGAGAGAAGAAGGATCTGCCATAGAAGTGAGTTGAGGCTATTGGTAGCACTGAGCAGGAAAGGTAACTAGAAAAACTGAACAGACAAAAAAAAATCAAAAGAACATGCTATGACATATGTTCTGGGTAAGAAGTTACGTAATGCATTTTAGAAATATTTCCATCTAACACCTTTAAAAGTTAGTATATTATCTGGAATCTTTGGTAATGAAGTATTAGATATACCTCAGAAGGCTTTGTGGAATCCTATATAATAAAAGGCTAATATGCAAATCGACCAAACAGCAGAACAACTGGTCGCTATGATGCACGCTACCCACCAAGGGGCAGATGCTCAATGCAGGAGCTGCCCCCTAGTGGTCAGT